GGTTGGTTCAAACGACACGAAGATCGGGACAAAATCGGATCGGGATAACTCGAAATCTCTGAGAATCGGCGGGTTTGGAGGATGTATTGGGCGCCGCGGCCGCTCCAGAGCGTTCCGGAACGCTCTGAGAGCGCTCCTGAACGCTCTGGAGCGATTTATCCCGATCCTAGCCCTGTTTATTGGTGCATAGATGGTGTCCTCCTGAGTACAAATTTGCGGCTCTCCGCGCGGATGTCTTGGATCGTGCCGGGCGCGCTCCGCGCGCCAGGGAGGGGGAGTTCAGCGCAGATCCAAGCACGTCGCACGGACCTCCAACAGATTGTGTTTATGCAGCTTTTTCTTTCCCTCGAAACTCGGAGAGAAAGGTCAGGGAGGACGGGAGAGAGATGGAGGGGGAAGGGAGGGATGGAGCCTTGTCAAAGTGCACGTCGCAGTTGTCGTTCCCCGAGAGAGCTTTTCACGTGGATGATTTTGCTCATCCTCATCCTCATCCTCTTCATCCTCTCTCCTCTCTCCTCTCTCCCCTCTCCTTTCCTCTCCTCTATCCTCTCTCTCTTCTCTCCTGCTCCTCGTCCTCCTCCTTTTCCTCCTCTTCCTCCTTCTCCTCATCTCTCCTCGCTCCTCCTTTTCCTCCTCCTCCTTCGTCTTTTCCTTCTCCTCCTCCTCGCCTGCCCTTCATGAACACACTGTTTATCAGCACACTGAACACCGTCGTAGCCAAGGCCCTTCGAGACAGCCGCCCGCACCCAGAAGATCGCAAGCAGTACACTAAGGAACTTAGCACAATGCATGCACAGAGGAGGAAGTACAAGGAGGAGCACGATGAGCACAACACTGAGGACATGATCAAGCACATCCAGCAGACCAGTAAACACCTTACGCGCACTGCGAAGGCGTACTAAGAATCCGTTCGTGCTCGAAGATGTGCCCAAATGAAGACTGCATTGCAAGAGCACACCGGCTATTTGGTGCAGAAGTTGGCCAGGCTTATCGCGGGTAAGAGGAGGGGTCCCCTGCAGAGACGCTTCACGGTTGTTCAAGGATCTACGGCATCAGCCAAGGCATGGGCACACATATTGGAGTTGGCTCTAGAACTAGGTGGTTACAGCGCCATCCCCTACACCATAGAGGAGACAAGGAGGGACATGATGGAGGAAGGACGGGAGAAGTTGGAGGACAGCGAGGCCGTTTTTCTCGATGTTGAGGATTGGAGGGAGGTGTCGTCCACGGTTTGGAAATTTAAGTTTTGGAGAGCGTGGTCAGAGTGGAGCCCACCCCCAGAGTGCTTTCGCACCGTTTCTATCCTCACAAAGTAGCGAGCGTCGACCGCAGGTCGCGTCTCTGCAGGACTTGCCCAGTCCTCTCGTGCTCGAGGCATGCTTGAGGCACTCTTGGGGACGTGTCTGCGCGTCAGACGGTTCCCTGTCCATTGGCACTGCGCCCAGGCTGTTCGCATCCCCAAACCCAACAGGAAGTTGGAGTGCGACGAAGAGAGGCTCATAACGATGATGTGCGCCCTCGGCCGAACCTACCACGCAGCGATGCTCAAGGGATAACAGCCCCCATGGATCGAATGGTTGTATGGAGGGATACATGGGAGGATGAGGGAGGCGGCCACGGGGGTTCAGCTCGTGTCATGTCGCCTGCAACCAGGAAGTGTGTCACACTTCTCAGGTGCCACGATGCCGTCAACGCAATTTACATTATTTATCGGGGTGAGGTACTCGCCGCAGCCGACTGATGCTATGAGCCCCAGGGTTTCCAGTTTATCCAGAACCGCGTTAAGAAGAATCTCGTGTACGCCTCAGATGAGACAGGGGGGATCGGGTTGAAGGCTCACAGCGGCGTCTTTCCAGGAGGCACGGGAGCCATTCGCTTTTGTCAATCAGACCTACCCCCCTACGACAAGTATGCCGACGCTGCCATCGCCAATCAGCGGCACATCTTCTTAGAAGCGGTTCCACCATGGGACAGTGAAGATCATACTTAGGTGGAGCTCACGGGATTCGTTGACGACACAAGTAGCAAGATGCCGGAGGCGGAAGAGGGGACCATGCTCGAACATATTGAACGAGGGGGAACGTTCGAACTGGATGCCGTCGATCGGGGTTTCTCGGATACCGGAACTTGCCAAACACTTCAGAATGAGGAAACAAGTGTTACCTAGCATATTGGGGCTCCTACAAGGCTACGCAGGCTCCCTCGCGGCACGAAACACTGTAGATGGTAAAGTTGTTCATCACGTTCGGTAATTAGATGGGCTTCAGGCGTCCACGTTCTCGCCGCTGCTACAGTTGCAGAAGCGGTTTGCGGCCACCAAGTCCAGCTTCCACAGCATGGGGGGTTCTTGTACAGCGACGCGCCCCACGGAGTAAAGAGAAAATGTAGTGAAAGGATTGTTGTTGAATGCTGCTGTATCGGGGTTCGAGGTGTGCGTGCATGGACGGGGACATCTGCAAGGGCGGGACCTCCACCCATTTCAGCTTTACAAACTGGGGAAATGTAGAGCCATACTACAGGGTACAGCGCGCAATAATGAACATGACACGCACATCGTCACAGGCACCAATATACGAAATCATGGAGGAATTTAGAACGGGCAGTCTATACCTAGGACCACGAATGCGAATGTTCAAATGGTTATAGGCCGTGGTTGCCCGTATAGATGTGCATGCACAGTTTTTCGTTGGTGTTTTTGGTCGTATGGCCTGCGGTGGCGAGGATTTTGTCAAAGGAAAGGTAACCGACAAAGCCAGTCCTTGGGCCAGACAGGCGCAGCAAGACATTTTATCATTGCGTGTACTTGAATAAGGGCAAGCAATGCTCGCAAACCATATTATTCATAGTTCATAGTATACGATTCCGACGACCCCACGGACTTCGTCAACATCGATGCCACCGAGCCTAGATCCCTCTTCTGCACGGAGGAGGGCGATGAAAACAGGGGCGAGCATGGAGTGAACAGCGCGGCTCTGGTCTCCAGTTCTTTTGTCAGGAGGTCCGGGATGACAGCGCAGTCTGCGGCACGTGTTGGCCCGGCAGGACGCAGGTCATGGCGCGCGTGGCCACTTCCAGAGGCGGACCCCACGGAAAACTCCGCGTTGGACGGGCATTCGCAATAACGAACGCGTGTCCCATCCGCAAGATTGTGTCCAGAGGTTGCGCTAGCGCCGTTCATCACATCGCAGCAAGCATGATGCACAACGATGGCCCGAATAATCGAGGGCGGCACCAAACCGATCTCATATCACATCAGATCCTGGAGCGCCCTGGATGCTTCGCGGAGTTGTTCTCTGTGGCCAGCCATCTCGAGCACGCTGAGGCACGCGTTCGACCGTACCTGCCCCCTCGTTTCAAATTCGCAAAGCAATTGGACATGCTCATGACCGGCCAGAATGGAGGAATGATTGCTTCGGAGGTGATGCCAATGCAGGGAGCGAAGCCCGCGGCGTCGTGGCTCCTGAGCGAGAAGGACAAGAGCGGCGCCAAGGACAGAGACGGCAAGCGCAAGCAGCGCCGCCAGGCGGAGATAGAGGACGAAAAAGAGAACGAGTAGTAGCCAGGCCAGCTTCGCAGCTTAGCGTACCAGTTCGAGGCTAGGATGCGCGCTGTCGAGCACATGGGCTTCACCAGCGCGCTACTGGATCGCAGCCGCCCGTGCATGTGGAGGGCAACGCCGCGTTCCAGTCGTCCGCAAGCAGGGCAACCGAAAGGACCATAGTTCAAACGTGATCACAGGGATGGCGGCGAGCCCCACGTTCGATCAACCAGGCAAGGCCCAGAAGTTTCGCCTTGGTTTCAGCCTCAAACTCCAGATCTTCACGACGACGCATGCGACCGACCACGAGGAACTGATGGCAGCGATCGAGGGCGGGGACGACGCGATCAAACAGGTGAACCCGACAGGAATGCCGACCACGATCTTCAACATGCCCGGCTACCTGATGGACATTTACTTCCTGCTCGCCACGCAGATGCGCGCGGCAGGCGGCCGCCACTTGGTCAACAAGGCGCCGCGCGGAAACATTGCCAGGAAGACCGGCGGCGGCAAGGGCAGGAACCGCGGCAAGTGAGCGCCGCCACTTGTAATCGAGTTCGACCGCCTCCTGGGATTGAGAGCGTGGCCAGCGCCGCGCCGACCTCGTCGCCTGTCCGGACCCCCCTCGGCTGAGCTGTGTCCGAGCGCTCCCGACACCGCAGAATCCGCCCCCTTCAAAGCTGACGAGGAGGCTGCTAGAGGTATGCACGCGCGGTAGTGATTGGACACAGCGGGCCGCGACGCCCCAAAAAACAGTTTACAGCATGCGATGTGTTGCGGACCTACAAAAGCGTCGTTTTCTACCCAAAGCGGCCCTTCAGGATTCAGTTGTTTTTCGGCGTAATTCTTGGAAGCTCCTATTGTGCATTCTATGGTGTGCTTTTAAGGCACCATAAGGGCGTGCTCGGCTACAGCCGTGCACTCAGGCCGTCAGCGTCTTGCTTCCTCGATTAACTCTAGGTTTGCGGGCGCCTCACACATGATGTCCCCCGTGCGGGCGCCAACAGGGGTGCATCCGCCCGCGGCATTTGCACGGCAGGCTCCAGAGCGAAGTGGAACGCGAGAGGGGGCGAGGCGATAGCCAGCACCCCAACCCACAGCAGATAAGACCAGGCATGGAGTTTTTTTTGGTGGGATCGAGACGAGACGAGACTCCTCATCCTCTTCCACCTCCTCCTCTTCCTCCTCCGCCTCCTCTTCCTCTTCCTCCTCCGCCTTCTCCTCTCTTTTCCCTCCCTCGCCGCATTTTCTCTCCCTCCGTCCTTTTCCATCCTCCTTTTTTTCTTGCCAGTCCGTTAGCGTTGGCTGCGAGAGGACACTCGCGAGCTGTAGACCTAAGCCCCCCGCAGAATCTTGAGTTTCACGGTGGGGTGCTAACGAAATCCGATCTTCGTGGGCTGGGCCAGCATTTTGCCCTTTTCGGGGTGGCGCGAGGGCGCGCGAATCTTGGACGTCCCACGTCATGCGCAAACTCGCGACGATGTTGATCCCGTCATTGCCTCGGGTTCCAGGCCATCCACATGGCGCCACAGCGCCGAATCACTGACGGCGTTGCTCGATCCGGATCCCAAATTTCCTCCAACCGACGGGGCCGATGCATCGGCGGTGCGATGCGGTGCCATCCGCCCGATACCCTCAAATACGATACGCGGCCCCGTGCCCCTCCCATCCTGGCCGCCTCTTCCCCTCCCCCTCCCTTTCTGCCCCTCCGTGTCCTCTCCCTTCCTCATCCCCCTTCCTGCCTTTCACTCACTATTCCTCTATTGTCATCGTTTCCTCCTAGATCCTCCCACCCTCTATCCCTCCCATCCCTCCCCCTCTGCAGGTGTGGGCGTTGAACGGGTCCGCTGACAGCCCCTACCTTGCGCTGGAGCTCACCGTGACCGCGGCCGACTGGGACCAGCTGGTCCCAGGGGGCCAGGCGGCCGCTTTGCCACCCCATCCGCCGAAGCGCAGGGGTGTGAGTCTGATTATGGGCCAGGTTGGGAGGGTCGGGAGTTGCGAAGTGCTTCTGGTCCAAGGTGCCCTCAGCTTTTCGCTCCACCTCGGAGCCCCATGGGCCCTCTGGAGGCTGCCGGGGCCACCTGGGAAATCCTGGGGGCACCTTGGGCCAGGGGCGCTGCTGGCAACACCCGAGAGGGGGAGCCTCTCCTCCGCCTGCCCCCACTGGGAGGGCCAGAGCAAAGAGCGGCACATAACGAGGCGCTCGCGCAGACATTTCCGGAGGTTCGCGCGGATCTCCGAGATCGGCGCCCAGCCCCCTCGCCACGCCCCTCTGGCCACCGCCGTTGCCGCCTGCCAGGGCTCGCTCCACGCGCCAGGCATGGGATCCGTGGAGGGGTCCAGCGCCAAGCCAGGAGACCTGCGCGGAACTCCGAAAGTTGTTGGTGTGCAGTCGTTGGTTGTCATGCCGTCCGCCATCTTCTTCCTTGCTCCTGCGCCCGTCCTGTTGTGATTCTATCCGCCGCGTGCCGGAAAGGTACGCGTTTGGTTCCCCCTCGTCTCTGGGTCACCCACGGGGGCACGAACGTGACCGCGCTTCGCGGGTCGCCGTCTGGGCCAGGGCGGCCGCCTTTTTCCAAGGGGCCAGCGCGAGGGCGCGTAGATAATCGCGCATCGCGGGGCGCGATGCGCGAAGCTTGGCCACCTCGGTTTATATCAGGATGCGGCAAAAAAACACAGACACCATGAATCGTCGATTCCCAGGAAAATACGGGAAAATATGGACAATGGTGGGGAAGACGAAACTCCAGAAAATATGTGAAAGTATGGGAAATCCTGGGATTTGTGTGTATTTACTTGTTTGTTTGTGGGCCCCTTCATTATAGTACTCCCACACTTCCCCCCGCCCGTTGACGAACGCCCAACGGGCGTGGCCGCGACGCAGGGAAAGCTGGGGGCCCTGCTGCGCCGGTGCCTTCGCCTGCGATTTGCATCGGGAGCCTTGAGACGGGGGTCAATGCAAACGGGGGTCAGCCAGAGCGCCCGATCCTGCAGGATCCTGTACGGCCAGAGTCGCATTGACTCGGGTTTGGGTGCAGGATCCTGCAGGATGTTGCAAGCTCCCTCGCATTGACCCGGGTTTGGGTGCAGGATCTTGCAGGACCTTGCAGGATTTTGAAAAGCCTGGCTGACCCGGGTCTGGATTGACCCGGGTCAGCAGATCCCCGATTACCCGCGCGAGGCTACCTCGTGCTGGCACCCTCGCTGCTTCCCCCGCGCGGCGTGCGGCGCGCCAGCCAGCGGCCTGCGTGATTCCGACAGGGAAAAGGTACCTATACCTCAAGCGGTGGCGAAACGTCATGGCGTGCTTACAGGCCTACCAAACATTGTTCTAAGAACCTTTTGTGGTTTCGGCGCAATGTTCTTAGAACATTTCTGGTTGGGTTTGTGTTGTTTGAATGCATCGGGCGTATGTTCTAAAAACATTGCTTTGTTCTTTGAACATTTCTGGGTTTTAAGAACATTACGTGGTAAGACTATAGGTTTGCCGGGACGGTCGGTCCCTGCGCAAGATTCAGATAGGGCAAAGGTACTTCTGTCGCGACCCTTGCATCGTTTTCGCCGTCTGGGGCCTCCTGGGAGGTCCTCGCCGCCACAGCCGAACTCGCCTGGAGGGTCTCGTCAGAACGCCTCCCCGGGAAAGGTCCGGGGAGTAGCAGTATCGGTACCTTTCGGTTTCCCCACTCATGTGTCAGGAGGGGCTAGGACGGGGATAAATCCGTTCCAGAGCGTTCCAGGGCGCTCTCACAGCGTTCCGGAACGCTCTGAGAAGGCCACGGCGCCCAAGACATTTTTCTGAGCCGATAGATCTTAGCGATTCCCGATTGATCCTCACCCGATGTTATCCTCGTCCTGGTTTCGTCTTCACGTGAGGCTGCCGCCCAAGGGCTCGCCGTGCCCGCTCGCGCGGGGCAGTGCTCCGGCGTCGCCCACGCGTGGGCGACGCCAAGCACGGTGGGTATGCGGTCTGCGGCCTCCCCTGCCCCTCGCGTGCAGCCCTCGTCCGCGCGTCTCGTGCAGTCAGGGGACAGGTTTTCAAATTACCGAAAAGGTATCGATCCTCCTCCTCCTCCTCCTCCTCCTCCTCCTCCTCCTCCTCGGGCACCGGAGTGCACGTGCGCCTGAGCGTCGCTGCGCTTGATGACACGTCGTGGCATCGCTCGCGCGCGGCGTCGTCTGCGCACAACTCGGCGGGGCGTGGCCGTGGTACGCCGCCCCGTCGGACTGCTGAGATAGTTAAGGAGGGGCAGCGACACACAGACACTTAATCGGCGACTCCCAGGAAAATCTGAGAAAATATGCGAAGTGGGGGGCACGACGACGAAACTCCAGAAAATATTTACAAGTATTGGGAATCCTGGGATTTGTATATGTGTGTGTGTGTGTGTGTGTGTGTGTGTGTGTGTGTGTGTGTGTGTGTGTGTGTGTGTGTGTGTGTGTGTGTGTGTGGGGGGGAGCAGAGGGGCGTCAGGGGGGGGAGAAACAGAAAGCATGCGACCTCCCCGGGGCTCATATCGATTCCTCTGATTCCATTCGATTCGATGGTGTCGACGAATTCCGCTTCCGATTCTGATCGATGCTGGATTCCGATGTTGGATCCGATTTCTGAATGAAGGCCTACTAGCCTGCAGATGTCTACCGATTCGACTTATCCCGACTCGGCTGCCGATTTTTCGCCGATCCGATTCATGCCGATCGCCGATCCGACTCATCGATTCGATTCTGGGCTCTCCTGCCTCCCCCCCAGGTAGCATGGAGCCGTTAGCGTCGTCGTTCTCGTCCTCCTCCCTGGGAGAGCGGCGAGCAGCTGCAAGTGGGACGGCGTGTGCGAGCCGCAGGGCGCGGATCTCCTCCCCCTCATGCAGTCGAGACTGGCGCCAAGGGCGAGCCTTTGAAGCAAGGCGCCCTCGCGCCTCGCATCCCTCGGTCCTCAGCATCCGTGGCATGCTTGGCTCTGCTCGCTCGAACACGGGGTACCCTCGGCGGTCCTGGCGTTCTGCCCCGTCCTGGCGCGCTCTGGAGGCAGCGCGCGTCTTCGGACGCGATCCTTGCGACTGGCTTGGGCTGCGCTCCCTCCGCCCCCTTGCCCGCCCCCTGGAGGGTTTCTCCGAAGGGCTTAGGCGACCCGTCCTCCTCCTCCTCCTCCTCCTCCTTCTCCTCCTTCTCCTCCTCCTCCTCCTCCTCCTCCTCCTCCTCCCCCTCCTCCTCCTCCTCCTTCCTCCTCCTCCTCCCTCCTCTTCTCCTCGCCCTCCCTCCTCTTCTCCTCGCCCTCCCTCCTCCTCCTCCCCCTCCTCCTCCCCCTCCTGCTCCTCCTCATGGCCCCAGTGTCGAGTATTCAGGGAGGACGTACGGGGCGGCCTGTAAGGAGACACACACACACACAAGAACACACAGTCTCCGATGAGCACCTCCCTTGAACTCGCTGGAGATTTGCCACCGGGGCGACACAGGCCAAGGGGGGTCATTTGGGCTGGCCCCAAGACCCAAACAACGCCCCAATGGGGCTCCACCGCCCCATGCACATACAATATGGCGACAACTTGCTCACATGGCGCCAAAACCGTTGGCCCGTAGTACCCCCTTTGGGAGGGCGCCTGGGCGGTCGGTTCTGTATTCGGTACGCCCCCATGGCGCCACAAACCAGGGGGGTTTGTTCGGGCTGCTCCATTGGCCCAAAGACACCCCCCCAGCGCCGGGGCTATCACTACGGTCGTTTTCCTTTGTGGGTACGCCAACAAGGCGCCACAAACCAGGGGGTGTGTTCGGGCTGTTCCTTTGGCCCGAAGGACCCCCCCAAACCAGTGTCCACCACCATGCGCACTGTAGCCTACGTAGGCGCCCTTGTCGGTTGTCGGTCGCGCCATCAAGGTGCCACACACATTACCTCGGCAACCGTGGCTCACGACGGCCCCGCTGTCGGTTGATCAAGGTCACTGGGGTTGTTCGGGCTGTTCCCTTAGCCTTCAACCACCCCCTCAATGCAGCCACTACCACGGGCTGACGTTCTGTGTTCTGGGTGCGCCCGCAAGGCGCCACAGACCAGGGGGGGTGTTTCGGTTTGTTCTCTTAGCCCCATGGACCCCCCCAAAACGGAGTCCAACAGCATGTGCACTGTAGCCTGCGCAAGCGCCCCCGTTGGCTGTGGGTTGCGCCATCAAGGCTCCACACAACACCAGGGACGCTTTGTCTCCTGACGGCCCCGCCGTTGGATGCTTAAGAGAGTCGTCAAGCAACCGCCAGTCAGGTGGTTTGTTCGGGCAATTCCCTTGGCCCGAAGGAACGCCCCCGCACCAGAGCTCCCACCACGAGCGGTCATTGCCTGTTCTGGATGCACCAACAAGGCGCCACAAACCAGGGGGGGGGGTCGGGCTGTTCCTCTGGCCCGAAGGACCCACCCCCAAACGGTGAACACCACTGTTTACACTGTAGCCTATGTAGGCGCCCTTGTCGGTTGTCGGTTGCTTGCGTCCTCAAGGCGCCACACACCACCATGGCAACCTCAGGGTAGCGATCGGATCTTTTTCTGATTTTCGTTTTCTTCGCTGGTCTTTGTCAGGCGCCCGTGCGTCGTTGGTTTACCTTTCAGGGGGTCGTGTCCTTACCTTTCGGCTTTCGGAGGCCTCTGGAAGAGGTGGCGGGCCAAAAGGAAGGACTGCCGCGCCCTGCCATTCCAGGGGTCCGCGGGCGGGCACGAACAGCCGACCCATGAGAGCTGAGCCCGAATTCCCGCTGCGCCACCAGCGCCGACGCCTTTGACCTTCAAATGTGCTTTAAGCCACCTGCGCCCAGTGGGTTTGCCGGTGTTTTTTGGCCTCTGGAGGCCTCCTGGGCTGCAGGCTGTTCTTGGTGGTCTGTTTAAGTTGTGTTTCATAATGCTCAGGCGAGGGGGTTCCCCCCCGATTCTGCGACCCCCCCTCGCAGCATGCCGCATGGCCCCAGTGTCGAGTCAGGGAGGACGCACGGGGCGGCCTGTAAGGATATACACACACAAGAACACTCAGTCTCCGATGAGCACCTCCCTTGAGCTCGCTAGGGTTTCGCCACCGGGGCGACGCAGGCCAAGGGGGGTCATTTGGGCTGGCCCCAAGACCCAAACAACCCCCCAATGGGGCTCCATCGCCCCATGCACATACAATATGGCGACAACTTGCTCACATGGCGCCAAAACCGTTGGCCCGTAGTACCCCCTTTGGGAGGGCGCCTGGGCGGTCGGTTCTGTATTGGGCACGCCTCCACGGCGCCACAAACCAAGGTTTTTTTTTTCGGGCTGCTCCATTGGCCCGAAGACACCCCCCCAGCGCCGGGGCTATCACTACGGTCGTTTTCCTTTGTGGGTGCGTCAACAAGGCGCCACAAACCAGGGGGGATGTTCGGGCTGTTCCTTTGGCCCGAAGGACCCCCCCAAACCAGTGTCCACCACCATGCGCACTGTAGCCTACGTAGGCGCCCTTGTCGGTTGTCGGTTGCGCCATCAAGGTGCCACACACATTACCTCGGCAACCGTGGCTCACGACGGCCCCGCTGTCGGTTGATCAAGGTCACTGGGGTTGTTCGGGCTGTTCCCTTAGCCTTCAACCACCCCCTCAATGCAGCCACTACCACGGGCTGACGTTCTGTGTTCTGGGTGCGCCCGCAAGGCGCCACAGACCAGGGGGGGTGTTTCGGTTTGTTTCCTTAGCCCCATGGACCCCCCCAAAACGGAGTCCAACAGCATGTGCACTGTAGCCTGCGCAAGCGCCGCCGTTGGCTGTGGGTTGCGCCATCAAGGCTCCACACAACACCAGGGACGCTTTGTCTCCTGACGGCCCCGCCGTTGGATGCTTAAGAGAGTCGTCAAGGAACCGCCAGTCAGGTGGTTTGTTCGGGCAATTCCCTTGGCCCCAAACCAGGGGGGGGGGTCGGGCTGTTCCTTTGGCCCGAAGGACCCCCCTCAAACGGTGAACACCACTGTGCACATTGTAGCCTATGTAGGCGCCCTTGTCGGTTGTCGGTTGCTTGCGTCCTCAAGGCGCCACACACCACCATGGCAACCTCAGGGTAGCGATCGGATCTTTTTCTGCTTTTCGTTTTTTTCGCTGGTCTTTGTCAGGCACCCGTGCGTCGTTGGTTTACCTTTCAGGGGTCGGGTCCTTACTTTTCGGCTTTCGGAGGCCTCTGGAAGAGGTGGCGGGCCAAAAGGAAGGACTGCCGCGCCCTGCCCCTCCAGGGGTCCACGGGCGGGCACGAACAGCCGGCCCATGAGAGCCGAGCCCTGCGCCACCAGCGCCGACGCCTTTGACTTTCTGGTGTGCTTAAACCACCTACGGCCAGTGGGTTTGCCGGTGTTTTTTGGCCTCTGGAGGGCTCATGGGCTCCAGGCTGTTATTGGTGGTCTGTTAAAGTTGTGTTTGCCTGTCGCGTGATCGCGTTGGTGCTGGTTGCGGTACAGGTTCCATTCGCAAGCCTCAGCTATCCCACGTGACGGGATTGCTCATTTGTACCCAGCTGTGGCTAGGAGCAAATGTATTCATCATCCCTCGGCAACTGCTATCCCACTTGGTGGGCTTGCCCGCGTCTGTGCGAGCAGGCCCCCCCTGTCAACCGTAGGGTCGGCATTGACCGTGGCAACCTGAACGGTCGCTGTCCAACTGGCTTCACCATTAATTTCTTGTGGGGTGACTTGTGAGGGAAGCGCTCGCGTACGGCCCTGGACGTTTCCCATGAGAGTACTTTTTGCACCGCACACAGAAACGTTCACATTTTTGGGGCAAGTTTGCCAGAGACCAACACCCCAACTCGAAAGTTGGCTTGGCCTTTTGCCTTGACGACCGTCTCCCCGCAGTGGCCTCTTTTCATCTTAGTGCTCACGTGGTCGTTTGCGGTCTGTGGAAAACATGTTTCGTCCCATCCTGCGGCTGTTTGCGCAATTTGCGGATCGGTTCACTCCGCGGGGCTGGTGGCCCATACCGACCGAGGTCCCCGCAGAGATGTTTGGTAGCATGTACGCGTGTGGGTATGCTGCTCTCACACCGGCCCCATGGGGGGTATTCCGCCCTCCCCGGAGGCCCGCTGCAGCCTCCCAGCGTCCGCGTTTGTATTGTTTGTTTTGTGGGGCTTCGGACACCGTACTCACAAGTACATTTGAGGAACGCGTGCGGGCACGTAATCGTCCGCCGGACAATTCGGTGCACTGACCACACCAGAGAGCTCATCAACCAGAGCGTGGAGCACGCACGTTCCACACTGTGAGGGGCGCGATCGCATACGACCCCGGCCTTTTCCCATGCGAATGCCTATCGCACCACACAAACTCAGGATTTAAGGATGACACTTCCAAGCCGTCTGGATCACCGAACTCAGGACCGCCTCATCCTTAGAGATGGGCTTAGGCGCCCTGAAGCCTATAGCGTACTAGGCAGTCCTCCTCCCACTCCTCCTCCTCCTCCTCCTCCTCCTCCTCCTCCTCCTCCTCCTCCTCCTCCTCCTTCCCCTCCCCCCCCGCATGGCCGGGCTTGCCCGCTGGCGTTTGAGGCCGAGGACGGTGGCTCGGCACGCTCGCGCTCCGTGGGCCCCGCGTTCTTTCTGCGGCCGCCCTCCTGGCCCTCTGAGGGGGCGGGGTGGGGCGCCAGCTCGCGAGGCCACCGCCCTCCGCAGGTTACGGGTCCTTCCCTCTTCGGGCCAAGCGACCTCGCAGTTGGGCATTGCCTCCAAATATATCCCAGGGGCCCTCAAGAGTTTCACAAGAGGCTGGAAACTGTGGACCCCCAACGGCCTTACCCTTATCCGTATCCTCCTCTTCTTCCTCCTCGGGCCCCAGCACCGTCAAACCGTCAAAAATTGCTGGGATGAGCGAAGCTGGTCCCAAGGGAAGAAAGCCCCTCATCGGGACCCCTGGCCCCTCTTCGCGGCTCAAGAGACGGGGGATCCATGCAGGCAGGAGTCACAGTCAGAGAGCCGGAGGTTGCAGGACCCTGCAGAGCCAGGGGTTCATTGCAGAGTTTGCCAGATCATGGAAGGTGTCACCGACCCATGTCTTGATTGACCCGGTCAGTAGGTCTCCGACCCTCAGGACCAGCTCCGTGCAGTTTCCCTCAGCTCTTTCGGTGGCAAATCATCGACGCCTTGTATACCCTCGTGTGTCCGCTTTTGGAGTGCACTTGCGTCAGCTCGCGCCCAGTACTCGATGAGACATCGCCGAACTAGCGTCGAATAGCGTCGAGGTAGCGTTGACCAGCGTCGATCGGCGTCGATTCACAAGAGCCAGCAGAATGTACGGGAGGCCCCCATGAGTCGTCGCAGAGAGCCCCCCCTCCCCTCTGTACTGTTCGCCCGCCTCCGGCAGCTTCGCAGCGCAGGCCCAGAGCCACCCCACCATTAGGCTCGGACCCCCTCGACCCGCCTCCGCCCTCCCCGTTCCCCCCCCCGGGGGGAGGGGGAGGCTGCCTCCGTGCAGTCGGCTTGCGCCCCGCCGCACACTGGCCCTCATTGCTGCACCTGGCCCCGACCCAGCCGACTCCTCGGCCCCCCCCCCCGCCCGCTCCCCTTTGGCTCACCATCCCTCCTCGTCCACTCCTTGTGGCTTTCTGACCCCTTAATCCTCCTCGTCCTCCTCTCCCCGTCCCCTCCTCCTCCTCCTCCTCCTCCTCCTCCTCCTCCTCCTCGTCCTCATCGTCGTCGTCCTCCTCGTCCTCCACTCATCCTCCTTCGCCAATTCCTTCTCCTTATAGGTAACTCTTCCCTGTCGCATCCCGAGGCCAGTTTTTAGGGCGGGCGTGGCGTTTCGCCTGAGACTTCCTCACCACTCATGACTCTGAGGCTTGAAAAGTGACAACAGTTTCACAGATGGAGGGCGGGTCGTTGTCAAAATGTGGCTCTTTCCCCCGCGCCGCGCACATTCGTTTCCAACATTTGTAATAGTTTCACGGATTGAGGGCGGGTGGTTGTCAGAATGTGACTCTCGCCTTAGCGCCGCGCGCATTTTTTCAACATTTGCAAGAGTTTCACGGATCGAAGGCGGGTGGTTTTCAAAATGTGGTTCTCGGTTTAGTGCCGCGCGCATTCTTTGTACACAGTTGCCAGAGTTTCGCGGATTGAGGGCGGCTCCTTTTCAAAATGTGGTTCGCGCTTTAGCGCCGCGCACATTCGTCTGCAACAGTTTACCAGAGTTTCCCCGATTCACATGACCAATTTACCAAACATAGTGTTTTGAAAGCGTTCAGCATCATGCGGGTGCAAGAGTTGTGTTGATTCGCGGCGGTGGAATCCCAAACGTGGCGTTATGGCGCGATTCTGGATCGCCAGAACGCAGCAGTCAGGTTGATACGTGGCGTTGAAATCCCGAGAACAATGTTTTGGCATGCTTCAGGATCTTCAAACGGTTGTCTTCCAACGAGGCAGTTCCTTCAATGGGCATGAACCGTTGTAGGGGCCTACGAAGAGGGACATTGGAGGGAGGGTTAATTCCAACATCGTTGATGACTCTTGGATTTACTTTGGTCCTCCTCCTCCTCCCACATCTCCTGCCCCCGTTCCTCTCACTCTTCCTTTTCCTCCTCCTCCTCCTCCTCCTCCTCCTCCCACTGCTCCTCCTCACACTTCTCCTGCCCCCGCTCCTCTCACCCCTGCTCGTCCTCCCCCTCCTCATACTCCTCCTCCTCCTCGCCCCTCCTCCTCCTCCTCCTCCCCGCCTCCTCCTCGTCCTCGCCCTCTTCGGTGCCCGTCCGCCCGCCGCGCCCCCCCCCTCCCCGCCGCCTCCCCGCAGTACCGAGCCGCGGTCAGGGCCACCAGCGAGCTCGGCCCCTCGGCCTGGTCGGAGTGGTCCACGGCCTCGGGGCTGGCCCCGCACGGCGGCGCCCCCGGCTGCCTGGTCGGCCTGCCTGCATTCGGGCGACGGAAGGAAACGGGGCCGCCTTCACCGACATTGGCGCGGAAGCTTCCCGCGTGAGGCCGCGCGGTGGCCCAACCACGCGCAGAGGCGGTAGGGGGTAGGGGGAAGGCTTCTTGGGAGCACCCCTGTTTCTGAGGAGGCGCGAGTCTGGTCTGCACATGCAGGGCCAGCGCCCCCTGAGAAGCAGCCTCCTTCTGAGAAGTCCTCCCATCTCCCCATACTCCCTTGTGCGCGCGGTCAAGAGGCGCGCCCCTGTTTCCAGTGCAGCGTGCTGAGCCGGCGGCCCGCGTGAGCCGCGGCGCAAGGTCGCCCTGTCTTCTCGCGAGAGGCCCGTTCGCTTGCGTCGCTCCCTCGGGCGCTCTACAGGAGGAATATTCAAAAATAGTAAAACAAATAGGCGTGGGACGATTGTTTAGATGTTTCTGACCATTTCGGAGATTTGTTGTATCATTTGTTCAACATTTCGCCCAAAATCCCCCTGTAGGGGGATTGGCCCGACCTAAGAGAACCGTCCAAAAATCGATCGGGTGTGAACATGTGCACCTGAAGGACCCCAGGAGGGGTCCGTGGACACGACTTTGAGGGGATTCGTTGACGTTTCTCTCTTTAGATTCAGGCGAGTTTGCTTGCGTGGCATTTCCCCGCCCCCCTTCCCCCGGTCCCCCCTCCGCCGCCTTTCAAGACGGCGCTGAGCCGGAACGGCGCGCAGGTGAGCGTTGACTTGCGGCGAATTCCTTTCGGGCCTCGCCACAGCCCCCAACACCCCACCCATCCATGCAAGCAGAGTTGCTTGAGTCTGAAGACAACGGGCACTTTGCCCGGCCCATGCTGGACAGATTCCCTCTGGTGGTTGGCTTGTTTACCACCGCCACCACCACCACCAGCTGGAGGGGGGAAGGAGGAGGAGGAGGAGGAGGAGGAGGAGGAGGACGAGGACCCCCTCCCCCTCCGAGCTGTGGTGGCGGTGGTGGAAAACAGGCCCATCCTCGGGGCCCGTCCCGTGCCGACCCCCCGACCGCCGCCCAGCTTCGGGCGGGCCGCGGCGGGCCGGCGGCCGGCATGCTGCAGGGCTCTATGCTGTGTGGCGTGCGGGCATCCATCAAGCAGTGGCGAAGCGTCCTGGCTCGTCTATAGTCGGGGGAGCGTAAGACCCGGGTTTGCCAGGACTCGGGTTCGCCATCGTTTTTTGACGACCGCGCCTCGGATTTTGACGAGGAGGAGTTTCGTAGGATGTCTGCAGCGGGAGGCCTCGTCAAAATGCAGGTTCGGCCTCGTCATTTTTTTGACGACCTCGCCGGGGATTTCCGAGTCCCCTGTACCCAGGTCTTACGTCCCCCTGATATAGGCCTACCAGACAGTGTTCAGAGAACTTTTTCTGAGAACCTTCTGTGGTCTGCACGAGCTGCAAAAACATCGGCTTGGATTCTTGGTCTCCTTGGAGCCAAGTCGTTGGAACTCTTGGAATGATAAGTCGGCCTTCTTGAATTGGGAGATCGGGAGCGTGCAGGGCTTGCAGGAAGGAAGCAGGAAGGGGGGAAGGGAAAGAAGGATGCAGAAGGGGGAAAAGGGGGGACGGGGACGGGGCGCGGGGGGTCGGGGGTGGGAAGGGTGGAGGGTCCGAGGCTCTTTCCGGCCCAATCTTGGCTCGAGGCGGTCATGGGCCGCTCGGGCGCGACGCCCCTCCACGCCCGCAAAGCATTCTTTCTGAGGCGCGCTCTGGACGTGCTCCCCTTCGCCCACCACGACACGGACCCCAGGCTGCTGCTGACGCCACTCTCGCTAATCTACCAGGATCGAAGAGCGAAACACGACTCAAACATTTTTTGATTCGGGGCTGGGCCCCCCCTAGGGGCGCCTCCGGCGCTGGCGCTGGCGCTCCGCGCGCTAGTGAAGGGGGGAGGGAGTCCAGCGCAGATTCAAGAAATCCGCGCGGACCTCTGAGAAACTATGTTCATGCCATTCGTTGCTCCTCTTATCACTTGACGCCGTCAAAGTCCATGAAATAATTCTTTGCTTCATCGAGGTTACCCCTGCAGCTCTGCTTCCTCGGCCCATCCTGAGCCTATGTTGACGTCCACGGAGCCGCACATCGTGGATGGGACTTCAAGGGGTTTGCATCCCTGGCTTGCGCTTTCACCATGGACTTTTTGACATCATCATCTGCCAGGAGCTCCCGCGGTTCCGCTGGGCGGCCGCCGACGTGGGCGCGAAGGCCCGGAGGTCGGAGCGGCACGTCGCACGCGTGGGTTCCAAGGGCCCGCGGGCGGCAGGCTTCCGCCATGGGCGCCCCTCGGGCCACGCGCCTATATCGGGCCGGGCGACAGGGGGGGATTGGGAAAGGGGGGGTTACGAAATTTGCTGCATGCAGCTGGTTTCGGCCTCACCGAGGGGCCTATTCCTCGATGCATGGCCGCCTCCGGCGCCGGGAGGCGCCGGGAAAATCAGCTACGTGAGCTGATTCTCAACCCCCCCCTTTGCTAACCCCCCCTTTCGCCCGACCCGCCTATAGGCGTCACAGAGGGGGTCAGGGTTGATGGGGTCAGAGGATCGCTCCGCATCGCCGACGCTTCGGCGAAGCGGCTGGACGTGGAGCCCGACTTTCTCAACACCGACGTCGCCGATGCGCAGTCAGCGTCGCCGATGCATTCTCGGCCATCGGCGAGGCATCGGCAGTGCGGCCCCATCCCCTCCGACCCCATCGAGTCCGGCCCCATTCGGGAGGCCTTCGCCCGAACTGTGCGGTGATCACTCCGCGTGGTTAGTCCGTGAGGACTCGGGGTCGCCGCACGGTTTTGGGGCTCGAGTCGGTTTCCGAGGACGTCTCGGGCGACGCGGTTTCCGTGGTCCCCGAGACCGTGCGGTGACGGACCGCGCGGTGAAGTCTCGTAGGTTTTCGAGGTCACTGCGCGTTCGGAGGTCACTGTGCGTGCCCGCAGGGGTCTCCCCAGTACTGGCCCGCGCGTTTGGATTTGGCCTCCTCGCAACCCCCCAGAGCCGCGCGCAACCGGTCACTTTTTGCCCAGGGTCAACCTGAGCGCAGCCGAGTGTATGTACCAGATAGGTGACGCAGGGTGACGATGAAAGTCCAGGAGGGCCCGTCACCCAGTTGTGCCCCGGGCCACGATGCATACATTGAGTTCCATGCCTGCTCGTGGGCGTCGTCGTCGACATTGAGATTTGTCTTGCCGTCCTATCCGATATCCTTCCCATCGGCAGCTTTTGACTTTTCTAGAATGTCGCTCCCTTGGCGTGTATATGCGTAGAATACATACCACCAGAAAATCGTCGTCCTGCTCATCCGAATCGATGCGTCGCTTCGCCCTCCGGCGGATGTTGGCGAGTTCTCGGCGTCCTTGTGGAGGCTCTTCGCCTCGAACGACAGCGGCGTGCGCCCGTGGCGCGGCCCGTTGATCGCCATAGAGCCCAACCTTGCCGCGTTCCGGCCGCTGCTCGCGGGCCGGCCAGCGCGGGACGGCCGATTCAGGGCCATCCTCGCCATGGGGGAAGAGCGGTCCCGAGGGGAACGGGCTCTCGCCATGAAGCATAATTCAAGCCTTAACCCTAGCAGCACAGTGAATTCTTGACGCACCGCGGCGCGTCGCGGCGTGGCGTCTCCACCCGTCGGGACGTCCACAGCGGTTTGCCGTGCTCAATTAGGGTCATCTGTCCCTTGCATCACTTCTAATGAGGGTAATTTTGTCCCTCGCACGTGCACTCGCCTTTGCGGCTTACGCGCTGCTTTGGCCAATTATCTACGGCATGTGCCCCAGCCGTTTATCCCGCTTCCTGACCCTTGTCTTGGAGCCGCCGACCAAAAAACGTATCCCCACCAGCCCATCCAGAATTGATTGCCAGTTTTCTTGAGGCCTCTTTGGAGGCTATCTTGAGCCATGCTCGGCTATTGGCTGTCGGAGGCTATCTTGAGGCATGCTCGGCTATCTTGGGCCATCTTGAGGCTGTCTTGAGGTTTCTTGGAGGTCTGTCGGAGGCTATTTTGAGCCATGCTTGGCTATCTTAGGCCATTTTGAAGGCCATCCTGGGCTATCTAGGGCTCTCTTGGAGCCATCTTGGGCCAAAAAGGGCGGGGTGGAGGGTCTTTGGGAGAGACTGGGAGGCCTCTTGAGGCCATCTTGGGCCCCATGTCTCGAAAAGAGGAGGTCCCTCAATTAGGATCCCCCCCCTCGGAGGCTCTCAAACGGCGTCATGGGGCCGTCTTGGAGCGCTCTTGGGCGCCTCTTGGGGCCGTCTTCGGCCTTCTTGGGCCCCTCTTGGGGCCCTTTTCGGCCATCATGCTGCCATCTTGAGGCTTCAAAAGCCCATCGGAAGCGAAAAGGCGGGAATGCCAAACACATCGATTTTCCCTAGGCTTTTGAAGGGTTCTGGCATCTTGGAGAGCGCCGTGGAGGGCTCGAAGGGCACGTGGATCCGTCTTGGGGCTGCCTTGGGGCCTCTGGGGGGTATGTCGGGGGCTATCTTGACCCATCTTGAAGTAACATGGGCCATCTTGGAGGCCATCTTGCGACATTGAACGCCTCTTGGAGCAATCTTGGGCCATCTTGGACGCTCTAACGCCTCGCGGCGCGCCCCGTCCAGGCCCAGGGGAGGGGGTTTTCAGTGGAAGAGAGAAGAACAAAACGCGTCATACCACCTAAGCCCATAGGGTTGGTGGGATTCTTAACCTACCTCATGTTCCGATGTTGGAGGGTATGCCTAAGCATGTGGGTGGCTTTTGTTTCATACGTCAGCCAGAAAAGGCTCCTGCTTCTAACGAGTTTGGCCCTCCTAGCTCCAGGGAGGAGGAGGAGGAGGAGGAGGAGGAGGAGGAGGAGGAGGAGGAGGAGCAGTACGTATCAGCTCGGTGGTTGTGTCGACGCTTTCGCGCTCCCCTGGCCCCCCCATGGGCCCCGCGGCCGCCCAAGATCAGCCCAAGATGCACATGTGACGCTCGGCTGCGGGGAA